TAAACACTTCAGGATGTTGGATTTTTCAACTTTAGGAGATAAAATTCGGAAAGGTGAGAATGCGTCATATGTGAATGCGTGAAGTTTGTGAGGACAAAGGTCATATGAGATGAGGTCAACATTGGCAACTGTATCCATGTGTTTGGGTGTGCAAGGCGGACCGTAGAAGGTTAGACTGAGTCTCAGTGCATTTGTCCACGTACATAAACACGAACAGCATGTGAGGTCATGGCAACTGAGTGTTCAGAAAACAATGAATTCATTCATAGTAAACCTGAGTCACGTATTTACTCATATATATATATATATATATATATATATATATATATATATATATATATATATATATATATATATACATATATATATTGGTCATGATAATGTAGAGTAGTCGAAAATGAATAAGTATTTTTCTTGCAGTTAAACTGTGATCACCAGTTGATATGAGTTTCACATGACTCAAATTGTCGATATAGAGTTTCGGGGTAACAGGCCAGTAAACTGTCGATTTGTTTATCGCAGCTATTTCATTGGTATTACTTCGATTTTGTGATTTCCAACTGCTTTAGTTATCGGACTAGATTGGCTGGTCCTTGTTAGCAGATTAGTATGCTCACATAATCTCTCAATTGTTTCTAAAATCTCGAAGGACAAACTTTCCTTTCTGCGTAAAGCGAAAAGAAAACTTCCAAAGAATAGATGTCTTCTTAATCTCTGCATTACCGAAACTCTTGCTAGCAATATGGGGAAACTTGAGTTGTGTACGGAAAAGAAAACTGTATGATCTCTTCTCTTTTCATCGTCTTAATTTCCAATCTTTGAAATCATCTCTGTCTTCGCACACTTTCACCTATTACGTGATTCATCCATCATTTATTCTGGTCTATAGACTTTTTCTGATCACAGTTGAGTTTCTAAATATTTTATCATGCTACGCAAATTTTTATTCAAACTTAGTTATCTTCATGCAACCTCAGTCATATTTTGATGAATCTCCACCATACATCATAGTTTTGATTTCAATGACAGTTCATGTATTGATAGTAGTTCTGATACCATGTTTAGTGGTTGAAGACTCTAGATGATATAGCTCATAACTGGTGTCAGTGGTGCAGATGTATACACACACTATCCCAATGTTAACCACCATACCTAATCTCACCATTTTCTCATTCCTCCTTCCGCTCTTTTACTACTTTCCACTTCTATTGACCGATTTTCCTTTCTTTCTTCATCTTCCATTTCAATGGCTTACTACTTGATGTGGTGATATGAGGTGTGACAACTTGGAACGTTATGCAGTAAGCCTTGGTCCTATGTTGATTTTGATGATGATTCAGAGCCAGCTGGAAGCAAATCTAATGACATTTGCCAGCCTTCGGGGGTAGGTTGCCAACTTTCTTTACCACTTTTCCTATACCAGAATTATTAACACACCAGGATTCCTCGGAATGGGGACTGACGTCAAGTTCAAACAAATGCTTGGCTATCTCCTTTCTAAATACGTGTTTCACGTCCTCATTTTCCAATAGAGCACACAACCTTAGCTCCCGCCCGTTTCCTTTGACCAGTAGGGCGCAGATATACACGAGCCCATATTATTGCATGATCGCAGTTCAAACTGGTACTCCAGAAAGAGCGACAATCCTCCATTGAGTTCCTTTAACAATGGATTATATCAATATGATGCATCTGTGCCCATTGTTGGTTTGATGTCGGCGGACACTATGTGGGACAGTGTCTCTCCTTATGCTTAAAGTTAGTGGTGGCTAGGAATAAATGATTATCAGAACAGAATTGCAACAGAATATAACCATTGTCAGTACCTTGGCAAAGAATTCTGTACGTAACTCCAAAATGCCTTTCCGATCGGCTTAGCTTACTTATTTGAGCCTGTTATTATGAATATCGCTTAGCTACTTATACTGATTGGATGGGCACCAGTCTTGAGTGACAAATTCTTATCGCTAAGATTACGAGAAGACTTACAACAAAAGTCAACTAGTGTTAGCGATGCACAGTGGAATGTATCATTATTGCGAAACTGAAACCACAGGTAATATCGAGGAATCCGCGCAACAACTACTTTGCTCCAACCGACGACCAGCTAATACAGGCAACACTAAAGCCAAGTAATTCTTTCAAATATTTCTGGTCTCAGATGAGAATGGCTCATAATGCTAGCCAGTCGGCAGACATAATTCCCCTCTATTCATCCAAACACAGTTTATACTTAGTCAGGAAATGTGAATGCGGAGTGTATACACAAACATCTTGATGAAAACTGCTATAAGTGAAATAAAACAAGCTTTATTTATTAAGGGAATGCGGCTGGCGTTAACCAACAAGCATGCATTACCAGGTAATATCTATAGGTGAAATGTGAAAACGAGGAACGAATCAATTGTCAAAGACAGTGTTATGAATTGAAGATTTGCGCTTGTTAGTCTGCTTTTCAACAATCCTGTTACACACCCATAGTGTGAACGTACAAAACAATGAAGAACTGGATTGTACGGAAAAATTTGGGTACCAAGTTAGTGTTATTCACTGTATAAACTGTATTGTTACATGTGTAATCTCCACCTAGTATATTCGAATAAACAACAAAGAGAACAAGTATCTTATATCATACCTCAGCGTTTCGATCTTACTAGGAAGAGTGTTACCGACAGTAGGAATCCGATATCATGAAGTTTTTTAAGGTTAATAGAAAAAATGACCTATTAGTTCACCTAATTAAACTGCCACACAGAATAAAGATCAACATAATCTAGGTGAGCAGCATCCATAAATCGATCAAACAAACTTATTCAAATTGTCCAGATGGGGGTAGTAAGCAAACAGTGTGAGGAATTCCATCCAAACACTATTATGCAGACCAAAGAATGCAACAAGTAAAGAAGACAAACCAAATATCATTTACAAAATCAACTGCAATAGCTGTAGTCAATACTACACTGGACAAAGTGGTCGCCCTCTTCGCCTTCGTCTACATGAACACCAATTGGCTACAAAACGTCACGACATTTCGTCACTCATTTCAATGCACGTGGATAATTATGGACATGAATTCAATTTCGACAATGTAGAAATTTTGGACAGAGGAAACACAAAGAATTCCTAGAAACTTGGTATTCAGATCAGTCAGCAATCAATAGATGTACAGATATAGGCCCGATCTATCAACCAATAAGAAAAATGATAAACAACAGAAAGGTTAGAGGTGAAGCAGAGGAACAGTCAAAAAGAAAAACTATGCAGTCAAAGACGCAACAATAGAAGGAGACAACCAATCATGAGCCACATCGTCAAAGCAAGCCACTAAATCACTCACGGAGAGATATTGACAGCTCACTTCATACTGAAGTTAGTGCCGATGATGTCGTCTAGCAAGACGATAAAAGCATCACGATTCAATAACCCAGCTCAGACAACACAATACAACCAAGAACATCCACCTGAGCTACAAAAATTCTCCACAATTTCAGTGTGAGGAATTATTTATATGTATTCTACTGTGAAATATACAGTGGAGTGAAGAATCACTAACTACGAATACGAATCAAGTAATTAGTATTCAAGAAAGATGAACATGTTAGGAGTAGATCATATAGAGTAATGTGAATCTAAATTGTGGTGAATCACCTACCCGTCTGTGTATTATTTTGAGACTGATTAGGCGAGTCACGAATGTCTACGATATTTGTGGGACACCTAGTCCGTCTTTCCTACTGACCACAGAAGGGTATGACCAGATATGCAAGACTCTTGCAATAACCCTCTGCTTGTAAGAAAAGAGAGGCGTTTTGCACAACTTTTGTCTTTCCAAACGACATTTCATGAATTAAGCCTTTTCCAAGTTCAGACCATAAGAATTTTCACATTGCTGTTGGCATCTTTGATCATGTACGATGCGATATGTTGGGAGCTGATGTGAAATCTCTCACAGCTATCGACTAATAACATGGGGTAATCAAAGTATATGATCAATTATTTAATCGAATGCGATATACAAAAAGGGTTTTAGACGTCTGATACAGCATAATGTATACATTTGAAATTCCTCCGTTTCCCTATCCTCGATGAGCGTTGATGCTACCTCTCAGGACAAAACTGTCATCACATCAGTCAGAAGGAAAAATCACAGGGAAGTAAACATCTCAAGGAAGTCGCTTATACAACAACACTATTTTTATAGCTGAAGTTAACAAAAGGACAGGTAAGTATTGTAGATCGTTGAGAATATTGAGCGAAAATATCGAAATCCACTTTGCAGCATTGTGCAGGTTCATGCAGTAAGCAATGAGCCACACCTGTTGTGTCAGGCTTAACGATGCTATCTAGTAGCCGAAACCTTGGTATGTGGAGCTGGGTTCAAAGCCGTCGGTTGGAAATCAGTGAGCAACAGCCTCACTGTTGCAGATATATCCATACAATTATCTAAATAGAACCAGTTTAAATCATAGTGAAGAAATTGGATCGGACTTTAGTGATGTCTTGCATAAAAGTTAGGTGTCGCATGTGGGGCATTCACTACGTCAATCGGTTCCATTTCACAACTTTACTAGGCCGCTAACAAAGAAATCATCTACTCAATCTCTTCATCATTCATCAGCGAAGAAATCTATACTGGCAAAGTGAGAACTCGTGAGGGTCTTAAATATTCGCGAATTACAGGGCGCACTTCTCTCTGAAATTACCTTCTAGTAGTATTGAGTAAAGACTACTAATGATTTAGGCCCAAACTACTAATACTTAAGAGTTGACCAAGCAATTATTTCATATTGAGCAATACTGATGAAAGCATCACTTTAACGCCTATATTGATAACGGATTATTTTCTGAAAGCAGTTTGAAAGTCTTTAACGAAATACGACATTTCACCTCTTCCGAAGGAGTACAGTAGACTACGCTTCACACAAAACCTAAATCCCGTGCAATGGACCAATCAAACTGACAATTTTTTTCACAAAATGAAAGCAGGGAAAACAGAACAAAGGCGAAGGCAAATTTTTTTTTATCCACAAGTTATAGGTCGTCAAGAAAATGTTTGTATACTATCTAGGTAGAGAAAGGAAATGATTATAATTGATGCAGTAAAAGGATAAAAAATAATTCAGGCGTTTGTCACCAGGGTGGGATTTATGAATGACCCTGAAACGAGTGTAATGGTGATAAGTGTGCATGAAGTTAACACGTCATCAATAAAGAGAAGGAAACAAAAGTAGTAATGATAGTAATGATGATAATAAAAATAGCTGATCATAATGCTAAAACCGGCAGTAATAATAATGATAGTAATAATGATTGTGATGATTATGATAAAGCATGATAGGTAGTTGAAAATACTTGAAAGTAAAAATACTGTAAAGATACAAAAAGGCACGATACAGTATAGGCATAAGTATATATATACATATACATACATACATACACATATGTATCCATGGGCAATTTAGTCAAATGGTTCATTTGACTGAAAGTTCAACATTAAACTGTCAACATCAATTTCCTCATCTCCATCCTCAGCTGCCTCTTCAAAGTCATCACTTAAATTATCGGAATCCGCCTTGAACTTTGACAGGATATCCAAGAATTCATGATTATCTAACCACATATTGTTATTCCGGCGATGACCATCTGAAGGAGGTGTAAGTGAGTCAATATCATCATCAGCACCACAGTCCAGTGAAGCTGAGGAAGAAGATCGTTTGATCTTAGACTGGACAGTAGACATATTTGACCAGTGTGACAAACTACTTCTAGTATCCTCTGGCTCTAAATAATTATCATCGGCCAAATGGTTGATCAGATTGAATGATCTTCGATTTCTCATTCGACCAGAATAGTCTGTAATAGAGGATTGGCACTGTGAACGAGGTAAAAGATATGACATTTCTTGATCACCGATAGCCGCACGTTCTGCTGGTGTTACTTCATACACACCTTCAGCAGATCTTGCCCTGTAAAAAAGAAAATCAAGATAACCTATACCAGAAACAGTATGAAACATTTTGAAATGCAGAGGACTCATCAAAAGATATCAGCTATGCTCACAGAATATCTTCAACCTTAGATCAAGCATTTTTAACATGTTTGACAACAAGGATATTTTTTAGTGACCTCACTCGATGATTACTCAGTATCAACATATGACTTGGCACTATTGCTTAACGGTTCAGGTTGCTGTGCCTAAACGTTATTACATTAAGTGAGAAGAAAGATGAAGTTAAGAAAGAAGTTAAAGTTAAAGAAAATCATCAAAAGAGACCAGAGAGGAGTGAACGAAACTCGAGATGACGATTCAGATGAAGATTAGGTGTGTATACACTTGTGGAATTGCCAGTAATCCTGAACCATGTCACCTAGCCTTTAACTACCGATTCCAGCTGTCATGCGGAACTAAATCACGCCGTCTACATTTCACTACATGCCTCAGACCGACAGTCAAGTATTCAACGCACTGACGCCATATTTTAGTTTGGCCACCCGTAAACCTTTTCCAGCCTAAACTTACTTCACCTAGCACTGCGCAACAAGGTAAACGGTGATTAAGGATGCGCAGCACATGTCGCAGACATCTCAGTCGATGGGGTTCACAACTGCGTCAAGTGGTTATTTTTTCTACCCTTAAACTCTACACCTGACTTAGACGTTACTCACGTGGTGACCCTGTAATATAGGATGGAAAAGGTGGTCGAATAACTGAAACCTTCTCAAGTCGTCTATCCTTGTTTGTCACGTTCCACAGCTATAGAGGAAAAGCGGAGGAAACGCAGTACAGTGCACTCAAATCTTTCGAAAAAATTAGATATCAAGAGTAGCGCTATAAGTGGCTTAGCCGAAGCAAATTCTTACCACCATGCCAAGATTTTGACCTACCAAGGTTGACCCAACTTCTCACGTAAGTGAAGTGGTCAACGAATTCAACCATTCCAACCCTTTTGTCAGACAACGCACCACTAAAGGCCAGTCCTGGAGTAACAATTTGCATCTGGGTGGTCAGAAACGCGTCCTAGACATTCTCTAATTTTGTGACTCGTTTTAATATGTTGGGCTATAGATGGGAATGGTCGTCTCCCGCCTTCGCTTGGCAAGGTTTCATACCAATCTGTTTTTGAAGCCACTTGGGTACATCTTCTCCCACCCTTAACTACATGGCTGGATTATACCTTTATATGTATATGTATGACCACACACACACACACACACACACATACACATGTAAACTGGTAAACACAATGCGATGTGAGGTAATCATTCATGCAGTATTTAGGTTTGTCGTGAAACATATGTTTTTTTCTTTTTCCACAATAATAAGCTTAGTTGCCCAATAAGTTTTCTTAATGGCTGATTTTACGTTCCAAAACTATACTATTCAACCCCTATCTGTACGGTAGAGTGATATGGTCGCTTGTCCTAGAAACAGTGTATAGAATTGGCTTTGGTGCTATATGACTTCTGCAACTTCAACGGATTATTCGGCTTCCATAAGTGTTTTGGTAGGTAATCTGATATCTGATGCTCAGATACGATAGACCCTACTAAACAAGCATTTTATTAAACCTTGCTTATATTGGATCGGATAAAAACTATGAAAATTCAGATACTGTCCTGTCCATATAGGCTTTCTGCAGACTGACCGTCTTATTGAACCATCACATCAACTAAGTTGACAAGGTTATTCTCGAATCCCCATTCAAGGTGTCCAGAAGACTGCATCTTGTCATCATCTTCATCTAACAGGACAACGCCATCAACCAAGGAGTCGACTGTAATAAGATAGATCCGCGCAGTCAGACGATAAGAGGAAGACCTCCATAAGGACAAAACTAATAAAACTGAATGAGAATGCAGAGTGGGCATTTCTGACAGACACCAGTCAATGCACACAGCTCGTCTAGAAACTCACTAAAGGCTATAACACACCCACACGTGTTTGAGTCCAGAGCCCTTGACAGGAAGAATTCCTTACTCGGCATGCCTTTCAGTAAGAGGTAATTGCTTAGAACCTCTGGATCGACTGACTTGAATGCAGTCTTCAGGCCAACAAATACAGCTAGCAACAGGAATCTGTAGGTGTTCCTCCATTAGAGATTCTAGAGAAGAGCGAATATCTGATCACTTTATCCACAGTTATGCATGAAGCCAACCTGATTTTCACGCGTTCGCTATTTCAAAGCACCATTTAGACATTCCTGTCAACTTGAGGATCCCAACTAGGCAGTCTACACCTCTCTATACAGCTAAAATCAACAGTAAGAAACTTTATGCACTGGTGCTATATCTTAGTCTACCCACTATAAGTCTTCTTCTAACCTGGTCCAACTTCGCCTGGCATGGCACGTCGGGGTAGGCGGTGGCTCGGCACGAACAACTCATGTCCAAACCATATGAGGTGCTGAAGGTTCACAACCTTATCCACCAACCCACTTGCCTAGTATCCTTCGATTAATCTCGACGTGGCTTACATAGTGATCCCACCATACGCGAGCGATGCTAATAAGATAACTACGATCAAAAATCTGTAGTGTTCTTATATCTTCTCCTATCAACAGCCATGTCTCAGTCATATAACAGGATAAAACTGACTGTAGTAGAGTCTACTTGTTGTTCAATAGGTAGTCGGATATTATACCAATCAGCGCCAGGAATGAGGCAAGTTGGCACGTCATTGTGTTCGGAGACTGCACACAAGTGTTCACGTGCATCCATTAATTCAGAAGCCGTTGAGATTCATTGATTCTTATTAGCTACGTCTTGAGATTCATGTACGGTCTGCAACGCTGTCTTTACAGCAGACTGGCGACGGTCTCACGCTTCTTCCAGATGAGTTATGTTGTTATGTTCCGACAACTACCTGGTCGGTTTCTTGCTGAAAGGAGTCTTGGTATTCTCAACGTCAAGCTGATCTTTTGTCTTGTTACTGTAGTTTTCTGGCATAAAGTTAGGAGCAGATATACGCGTGATCGCTGCCCGAAAATGTGCTCCAGAATGAGCAGCAATCTCCCAAAGATCCTCTTCATCGATAACTGACAGCAATATGGTTAGTGGACGCCACTTCACACACTGTCTCTCCTTATGTTTAAAATTCATTGTGACGAAAAATAGATGGTTGTCTGAGAACAGTTTTATTAGGCGGTCGCCATTATCTTTTCGTCCGGCTGGGATTGCAAAAGCACCTTTCTGCTTTACTTAGCCTCCTCACTTGCACACTGAATTTACCGGATACAAAAATCACTTTCAACATTTGGCTTTCAGAAGAAGGCCAAACAGTTGTCGGTAGAAGTCATTCTCCACTTAATTCGAGTTGCAGACAACAGGTGAAAGTGGAGGTTGCGAAGAGACAACAGTGAAATTCCCTATTCTTTTCAGTCTTCCCTATGCCGTTCATTCAAACAGCGTACAGGTGACCTTTAACTGAAACCCATCCAAACAGTGCACTTTCGACCTCAGGAATTAATGCTATACAAATATCTGCAAGACAGAGAGGATTAGCAATCGAATCCCTCATCATCATGGAAGATGAATTTCTGGAAACAAGAAGGGTAGGTTTTAAGGATTCACTATACTGACCGGTTGAGGTTCAGTGAATAACCACACTTCGGTTTGATATGCCTGTCTTACAAAGATAGCATATTTGCAAGACCCAAGATACTGGTGAAGCCTGTTGGTGACATGACGGAGGGTACAGACATTGAGAGCTTCAACGTGTGGCTTGGAGCTCGGTTTCAGGAGATCACGGGTGATGTTTCGTGGGCTCAGACCGTTGTCAAGAAATGCAAAGCTAGAGAAGGAATGCTGATCGAGGGACCTGAAAAAAGATTAGAAGATAAGGATTTGGAAGACTGATATGGTCTGAGGGAACTGAAGCACTGACAGAGTTGTGACATCAGTTGATACCTCCCAGCCGTCCACACCGTGGAAGGCTAGTTCTTATTAAGGTACTTAAAAAAAAGTAAATAGGTGACCACAGAGTTCAGAGGCTATCTGGTTGGCGTCAGTTACACAAAAACCCTTTGAAAAACTTGAAATTTTAGTTTGTTGCTTTGGAATCCGACTATGAAGCCAGGAGAGCTGCATCAGCATGCCGCCAAGTATTGAGAGTGTGCATTTTTTACGGTCAACTTTCTATAACTATCCATTCCCACAGGGAAGGTAGCATCAATGTGGAAATGCTGGTCATCTAAGGGAGACATCTTACTGTTTTTACGCTCTCATCTAGCAAGTAGTACAACTTCGCCCTCAGACCTATATTGAAGTATAGCAATTTAAATTACAACGGTAACTGCTTTCCATCTTACCACCCACCATACCTTTCAGGTATAATCCGAATTTGAAGGAATAAACATTCTATCAAAATAGCTCATTGCCTCACCGTAATATGTCTACCCTATCACCATGTTAAGGTAGCAGCTATCGGTCAGGAAGCTGATAGGAATAAACAGTTGAAGACTATCGGTGACATGGTTGAAAATTGGTCACAATATCATAAATATATTCTTATTTTGACTTCTTCCAGAACATTCTCTTCGACCTTCATTTTTGGATTTCTCGGCCTTGCATGCACCATTATCTTCTTTGATATCACTCCTTCACTACCCATTTGTTCTTCGTAGGTTACTGTGAAGTGTGGTAAGTCAAGGTGATGCATTTCTGTGTGACGCTCTACTTTTGGCCTCATCTGTCTGTTTGAGCGTATCTTACTTCAGCTAACATTGTGAGTCAAGGTACGCAATGGCTTAGCATATGCAATTGATGTCCAAGCTACTTCAGTTGCTGAAGGTTCGCAGTCCCATCGACTGACTAGTCTGACTTGCCTAGTACCCTATGTCTGTCCTGGAGATTGCTCACATAGTAATCCCACCATACATGAAAAATTCTACGAATAAGACATAGACAAAAATAACGTAAAGCCTCGCACACATGTGCATCGGCTCAATTTGCCACACTTCACAGTAGTACACAAAGAACAGGTGGATAGAGTAGGAGTGACATCAAAGAACATGAAGTTGTGTGAGAGAATAAACAATTTGGAGGTAAAGGTTAGTGCAAATATTGAAGGTTCAGAAGACGTCAAGGAGTAAATACATCTGCGCCATTGTGATCGGTTTTTAGTCACGTCACCATGAGTTTTCAACCATTGATTTCTATCATTTTCTGGACCCCAGCTAAGTAGTCTACATCTTCCTACACGGCTCAGACCAACAGCCAGGGAATTCCTGGGCTGTTGTCACATCTTGGTCCGGCCACTGTGAACAAAACAAAGGAATTATCGAGGAGATAAGGGACAGGAAGTGTTCTTTCAGAATAGCGGTAGATAAAGATATAGAGGTGAAAAATATTCGTGGCAGTTAATTACCGTATGAAAACATGAGAATAACTGATCGGCAAACATTTGGAATGTTACACGCAGATCGTTGTTGAATTTGGCAGTGGGAAGATGTTTATGTATGTTGACACCTCAACAAACGGTTAAGAACGTGTATTCGAGTAAATTTATTTATACAGTCATTTTATTCAACCAAAAAAGATGACTTACATCTTATCATGACGAAGTAAATTATCCACAAGTTGAACCATTTTTCGATAATTATCTAGTATTGAGGGACATTTAGGTCTTTCAGGCACTGGGAGACCAGCACGCACAAATTCTTTTTCAATCACTTTTATATCATTTAATGACTTCTCGAATAGGGTCAAATTGTGCTGTTCTTCACGTACTAATTGGTAGGCTATTTGCAAGACCTGTGGATAGGACAGTTTTTCGACAGATTTAGGACCGTTGCAATGACCGAGATAATGCAAATCGTTATTGGAAAAACTACACCGGATCAACTCGTAGATGACAGCAAGTTCACGCCGACGGCTACGTTCTTGTTCATTGTGTTCATCCCTGGCACGTTTATCGGGACGACCAGATCCGTTGGATTCTTTTGTGTCCGTCTTAACTGTACGAAATGACTTGTGATTTGTAGCGATAAGTGAACTTCGAGTATGTTTAGAAATATAAATAGGGTCATCATCTGAATCATATTCTGGTAAAGGAAGAGTTTGAGATAGAGTCGCACTTAATTTTCGACGTTCTAGGCGGGGAAAGTGCTGTTTACGATGTCGAGAAACAGGCTGATTCGACATTTTGGATATCTAAAATGAAGCAAGATTAGTTTGTTAAGAAATACAAAACAATTAAATAAGAATAAACAAAACTTTAGCTAATGGATAGTGGTCAGTTAACACTACATAGATTATCTTTTACTCAAATTAATTGGCATTGAAATGTAAGTTAGAAAAGCTATTCAGACACACGGATCTCATGGTATTACTACGCTATATACACCACTCTGAAAACATGGAGGTGAGCAATATTCGTGTTTAACTGATATCGATTACAGATGATAACAATTATTCTCTAGCTGCTTGTTGGTTCACATGGCATGATTTTATTTCGAATCATTTTAACTAAAAGAGCAGGGAGCCATCAGCTGAGGCTTCATACTTTTTTATTATTTTTATTTGTCCCTTAGGTTCCTAATGGAACATAGGGCCTCAGTATCACGTCTCCAATGCGCTCTGTTCTCTGAAATCTTTTGGACCTGGCTTCACGACAGCCCAGAAGCCCTCATTTCCTCCTCCATGTCACACTCGCCACGAACGCCCAACTCGTCGCTTCACATTTGGGTTCCACTCGAGGGCCTGACGCGTGATGTCCCCAGTCAGCCTTCTCAATGTATGCCCAATCCATCTCCACTTCCTTCCAGTGCATATTTGTTGAGCGATGGGTTGTTGATTGGTCCGTTCCCAGAGTTCCTTGTTGCTTATTCTTTCCGGCCATGTGAGCTTCGGTAACGAGCCAGCGAAGGCAGTTGTTGATGAATGTCTGTAGTTTGTTGGAAATCCCTTTCGTAACGCGCCAAGTCTCTCAACCATGCGGAAGCACTGATTCGACGTTGGTGTTGAAAATCCGCATGTTGTTCACGCTTTATGCTGAGGGCAGATCTCCATACTGGTTTCAGGCTAACGAACGCCTGTTTTACTTTTCCGATCCTGCCTGGCTTTGACGTCCTCGTCTGTGCCACCTGTAGTTGAAACAGTGCTGCCTAGATAGGTGAAAGAGGTTACTTCCTTTAAGTTTCTCCCGTTGATGGTGATCGGTGTTTGTTGCTGTTGATGCTGTTGTTGGTTGAGTATCTTCATCACCTCCATCTTCTATACGTTGACTTGAAGTCCTGTATTCGCTGCCTCGCCTCTCCTGTCAACTTGTTAGTTTTCGTCTGTAGATCTTCCAGTTTGTGCGACATCAGACACAAGTCAGCGGCGAAATATAAATCTCCTAGGTTCTTTACCCCGGTCCAGCGTATGCCCATCTTCTTGCTCCTCACAGTTGTCTGTTGCGTGATCTGGTCCAGTCGAGTCGACCATAATCAGGAACATCATGCGTGGTAGTAGACAGCCTTGCTTCACTCCTGTCTTCACTTCGAAAGCATCACTGAGCTTTCCACTGTGAATTACTTGGTACGTGGCGTCTTCATATAGTTGTTGAATGAGGTTGATAAAGTTGTGTGACACTAAAACCGTAGTGTTGAAGCAGCTGCCTGCCAATTTACTCCTCGGTCGACGCCGTCGAAGGCCTTTTAAAAATCGATGAAGTTGAGGTAGAGAGTTGACTGCCATTCTAGACTGTGTTCTATGATGATGCGAGGCAATGCAATTTGATCCGCACATGATTGGTACTTCCTGAATACAGCCTGTTTTGTCATAATTTTGAATCCAGTTCATCTTTCAGTCTCTCCAAGATGATACGGCTTAATATTTTGGTTGGAGTGGACAGGAGCGTGATTCCGCGCCAGTTTTTGTAAAGACTTAGGTCGCCCTTCTTCGGGAGTTTGACAAGGTTGCCCTTTTTCTAATCGTCAGGTACTTTCCCTTCCTTCCACACCTTCTGCAATAGTGGCGTGAGTATGTCCACTGTTGTCTCTGCGTCTGTTTTCAGTGCTTCTGGTGGGATTCCATCTGGTCCTGCTGCTTTCCCACATTTCAACATTTTTGTAGCGTTCAGGACTTCCATTTTTGTTGGAGGATTTATGTTCACTTGTAGTTCTGTGACTGGGCTGCAGGTGGTATTTCTGGACGAAGTGCAGGTGGTGGTCAATTCGAGAGCTTCTTGAAGTGGTCGGCCCATCGTTTCCTCTGTTTCTCTTCTTTCGTAATTAAATTTCCGTCATCATCTTTTATTGGTTTCATCTGTGTTGATCTCTTCCCTGATAGTAACCTGGTTATTTGATACAATGTCGTCAGGTCTCTCTTACCTGTAGCCTGTTCTGCTTCACTTGCCAGTGTTTCGTAGAAGTGTCTTTTGTCTTTGCGTGCACTCTTCTTCACTTCTTTGTTCAGTGTAGTGTTTTATACATTGTGCTCAGTTCCTCTTGTCGTTGAGCATCCTTGCAATGGTTTATCTCCTGCTTCACCATCCTCCTCTCCCTGCTCTATCAGCTTCCATGTGTCCGTCGAGATCCATTCCATTTCTTGTCTTCTTTCTTCTCCCTTCCTAATACGGCTGTGCAGGTTTCTTTCCACATAGCTTTCAAAGACTTCCAGTGTTCTTCCACACAGGTTTCTTCAGGGATGTAGCTCGATATCTCCCATTTTGTCTTGATGGCTGCCGTCAAGGTATCCTTTATAGTTTTGTCCTTCAGTTTTTGGGTGTGAAACTCGAACCCTGGTCTATCACCAACTTCTTTCAAGGCTTTCAACTTGATTTGGAAGTTTCCTTGCACTAGACGGTGAGTGGTGTGAAGCTACGTCTGCTTCTCTTCCTGACCTTGTGTCAAGTAGGCTGCGTCTCCACCTTTTTGAGATTGAGATGAAGTCGATCTGGTTTTTAGTGTGTCCATCTGGTGAAGTCCGTGTCGCTTTGTGGATATCCTTGTGCTTGAACACAGTGCCTCCAATTACCAAATCGTTGAATGCACAGAATTCTGCAAACAATTCTCCATTCTCGTTCATCACCTCACCGAGCGCTTCTCGACCCATGGTTATTTCTCTTCCTGTGTTGTCTGCTCCCAGTTTAGCATTCATGTTACCCGACCCATTAGAATTTTGGTATCCCCAACTGAGGTTTTGTCCAGTGTTGATTGTAGTTGTCTGTAGAATTCCTCCTCCTTCTCTTGATCTGGATTATTTGTAGGTGCGTAGCATTATATGATCGTGACTCTCCGTCCTTTTCAGTTGAACCTTGCTGTGATGATCCTGCATGAGGAGATTGGTTCCCACTGTATGAGAGCCTTCGATGCTCTTGAGGACATCATGATAACCATTGGAAATTTCAGTGTGCTTGTGGTTGTCGTCTGGGTGACGATATCGGAGTAGATTATTGACTCCTCTTCAGTTGACAGTTTGGAGAGTCCACTCCCATTCCACCTACTTTCGCAAATTCCTAACACTTCAATGCGATACCTTCTCATCTTGTTTGCAATCTGGACTGCCTTGCTGAGTTCAAACATGGTGCGGACATTCCATGTCCCCACGTTTACTTTCGCTTTCATCGATAGGGAGAAGACACATCGGCCAATAGTCTTCCCGAAGGCTTTCACCAACTGGCGTCATTTCGCCCCTCCGATTCCAGCGAGGAATAATTTTGTTTTCATTTTTATATTTTGTTTGTGCTTTGAAGTTTATTTGGCAGTTGGATTTGTTTTACGGGTTAGGGTTGCTAGCCCTATGCCCAACTTACACTCTTGCCTGGGCTTAGGACCGGCTGGTAACTGGTTAACCAGGCGAGGTTGAGGCTTTATACTTAACAAGTCAATGCTAACATGGAACCTAGTAGTATTACCGAACGGTCCAAGCAGTTACATCACACATCAACATGTCAAAATACAAGATTTCGTTGAAATAGACAGCTGGCAAAATGTCATATGCCTGAAAACTAGTTTTAAAGGCACACACGCACACAGACTGTATTTTTTTTGCGTACTTTCTGTTTTACATCTGTTATTCTTGCATGACTGTTAACCTACTGTAAATGTTGTTAACTGTTCGGATCGCTTCGATTTAGTGATAAATACACGTCAGTATACTTATGAACGCAAATATGATTCGGACCATTTACAAATAATCTGAAGCGTGTATTCCATAGGAGATTGTTGTTTTTTCTATAAGACTGGAATGTGGCCACTGGAGGTAAACAGACAGATGAGGCCAAAAGTAGAGCGTCACACAGAAATGCATCACCTTGACTTACCACACTTCACAGTAACCTACGAAGAACAAATGGGTAGTGAAGGAGTGATATCAAAGAAGATAATGGTGCATGCAAGGCCGAGAAATCCAAAAATGAAGGTCGAAGAGAATGTTCTGGAAGAAGTCAAAATAAGAATATATTTATGATATTGTGACCAATTTTCAACCATGTCACCGATGGTCTTCAACCATTGATTCTTATTACCTTGAGGCCCCCAACTAAGCAGTCAAATGCAGTTGTCAGACCAACAAATACAGCTAGCAACAGGAATCTGTAGGTGTTCCTCCATTAGAGATTCTAGAGAAGAGCGAATATCTGATCACTTTATCCACAGTTATGCATGAAGCCAACCTGATTTTCACGCGTTCGCTATTTCAAAGCACCATTTAGACATTCCTGTCAACTTGAGGATCCCAACTAGGCAGTCTACACCTCTCTATACAGCTAAAATCAACAGTAAGAAACTTTATGCACTGGTGCTATATCTTAGTCTACCCACTATAAGTCTTCTTCTAACCTGGTCCAACTTCGCCTGGCATGGCACGTCGGGGTAGGCGGTGGCTCGGCACGAACAACTCATGTCCAAACCATATGAGGTGCTGAAGGTTCACAACCTTATCCACCAACCCACTTGCCTAGTATCCTTCGATTAATCTCGACGTGGCTTACATAGTGATCCCACCATACGCGAGCGATGCTAATAAGATAACTACGATCAAAAATCTGTAGTGTTCTTATATCTTCTCCTATCAACAGCCATGTCTCAGTCATATAACAGGATAAAACTGACTGTAGTAGAGTCTACTTGTTGTTCAATAGGTAGTCGGATATTATACCAGTAGGCGCCTCAGTTGACGCAAATTAGCAAATGCGAAACGGGCCTTTTGTATATGATTTCGTCAACAAACATCCCATTGAAACAGATGCAACCCCCCATGATAGCTGGTAGACGCTTTCTACCACTTTACTCCGTTATTAAATTCGGAGCAATCGCAGACCGTTCCTGGAGCATTTTCTCACATTTGGCAGATGCGAGAAGAATGCCGAAGACTCATATTTCCGATCAGTGCTTTTAGAAGACCCTGCACTGTCAGCATTTTCACGTATTGGTGCAATATTTTTATCCCAAGTCAACCACATGAACTCTAGGGAGTAGATCAATAACTGTGAAGTTACAGCTACATACGGTTATGTACATTATTACGTCTATAACGGAGTTGAACATAAACAGTGGACATACCTGTCACACGCCACTAGTTGTCGTCAATCCTGATGACAACTCTCCATAAGCCCTTACATGGCTGCGTCAGCTCTAGTAGAGAGCTTTGATAAGCATTATACACCTGCCTGGCACACTGTTTATAGTCACACACTACCGCAACACCTCACGATTGAGTCGCATGGTGCCTTCAGATCAAGAAATATGGCAAGCGTCGGCCACTGACCGGTGGGTAAACATGTGTTTCAGAACCTCTTGTAAGAAAAAAATATGATTGATGCACCCTCAACCAGGTCTGAAACCTGCCTGGTTTACCCGAGTTCGGTGTTCTCGGGCCCCAGTATTGATCAGACTAATTCCACTATGACCTACTCAGGAAGACTTTTCTTTCTTTCTTATAGACTGGCATGATCAATGAAGTATACTATTCTAACGGCACCACTTCTGATTCCCATACAATATCTAGTACCTCCATCACTCCTATCAGCAGTTTTCTACCTCCATCCTTGAAAGCTTCAAGTGGTAGACTGTTAGGTACTGCTGCTTTGCATCGCTTCCGGTTCGATACAGCCTTTTCAACTTCAAGGAGAGTTAGAGGATCGATATCTGCGTCCGATTTAGGATCGCGCTGGCTGGATGTTGGGCAACCGAAGCGTTGCCGTGGATTAGCTGAAGTATGCTCCTAAATGTTCTGTCTAGCATTCTAGTAAACTTTCCCGAAAGGTTAGCAGGATCCCATCCTTTTCGGTGATTATTTCATCAACCATTGTCTGCTTGCCAGTATCCTAAATAATTGCCGCATACTACTTAGTGATGATGCCTCCATCTCTTTCGCTTTCCCCACCCACTACTCCGTGGAAACAACACGAATATTATTAGTCAGTTTACGGTTAAGTTACTGTCGCTTCTCATTGTCGTCACAGCCAGCTAAAATCCGTCTCCCAGCATCAATCAGTCCAGATGATGCAGTGGAAATCTATTGACGTTTTTAACGTTTGAGTGTAAGTTACCAACTGCCTTTACTACTGTTTTAACAGCAGGATTAACAACAAATGAGGTTTTCTCAAGATTAGGATGCTTGGCTATCTCCCTAAATACGTACTATACGTCCTCATCTTCTAACTGAGTACACAAGCTTAACTGTCGCCCGTTTAAAGCGAGCAATGGGGCGCACACGCACACACGTCTGTAATAAATCGTGGCTAGTCCGGAAAGAGCAGCAGACACCCATCGATCTCATCTAACAATGCCCTATGATCTATCTGTATTACTGTATGCTAAATCAAATATGGAAGCATTTCACCAGCATGGCTTGTTGGGTTATTGAGATATGCAAACCCGATCACAACATTCTGGTAGCAGTTGTCAGTCGGGTGGACAGCCAGGTGCTCAGCCACGACTGTCTGCGTAAAGTAGACTGTATCTGGAACCACTACAGTAGTGGCACATAGATCAAATACGGCCTTAGGCAAAATAGGTAAGTCAGTTGAACAGGTGGATACGGGCTACACAGGACTAGTTACGGTCTGTCCGGAGAAGCAATCTTAACTAAAGTGGCATAAGGTCAAACATGTAAATACTAAAGAGTGGTACATGAAGTCTCTGATTGCTGGTTGAAACAGAGTAGGCAATTGTACTGATATGAGGTGTGGCAACTCGGACCGTTACGCAGTAATGCCTGGTCCTATGTTGATAATGATGAGGCAATTGTAAGCTTGTCGGATAAGGTCCATATTGACACGGAAACGGTGGTCAGAGATTCTAGGCGGTATGAGTACAAATCGATCACTGGCGTAGCTGTACTGACATATCTTTATCCTAATCATTGTGGAGAATTTCGTTACTGTTTTGCCCTGTTTTCTTATTTTCTGATGACTTTCTACGACTCGATTACACTCCTGTCACTTAGTTCTCTATCTTTTAGCTTGAGACTTCATATTTTGACACGACGTCAGGTGGGGCAACTTGGGCTGTTAGGTAGTAGTACTACCAGTTTTAGTTTTGATACTGACTAATGTATGCATGGCACATTCTTTAATAAAGGTAAAACGAACAAGTGGTCGACATCCACCGAAAGTAGTTGTATTTTCGAAGGTTTAAAATACTTCTGAAGTGCTCTGCAAAATTCAGTCAGTCTACTCCGAAAATGATAGAAGACTATTAGCCTGTGCTAACACTTGCAATGATTATCTCAATGAAGGTCAAGTTTCTCACTCAATGCGATCACCGAAGGAGATGCGACAGCTTATTACGGCGAGTTCCGGTCACCGACCATCCTGTGGGAGGATATGGTTCGACCCCGGCTTTTGAAACTTTCTTCGATGTCAACTAAGGTGATCCATCCTAGGAGTACAGAAACTTGGGAAATCAACACAATATTAAGAAATCAAAAGGTTAAAATCAGGTCACTTTTAGCTTTTCTAACCGTTCTTCGTAAGGAAGATAGGCAAAACCTTCCACTAATTTAGTCGCAGCTCTTTGGATCTGTTCTAGTTTATTAGTTTCTTTCTTAAAGCATGAACTAGCCACCTGGTTACAATACTCTAAAAGAAGACTTATGTAAGTAGGGTAAAAGATACTAAACACATTTTCACCAAAGCGCTTGGATATCCTACGAAGCAACCAAGGCATCCGAAAGGCTTCAGCTGCAGAAGCATTACAACTTCAGCTATGAACCGAAGTGTTAGTTGATCATTCATTGCGTAGTGACCAGAAAAATCACTTCTAGTGAAGATTATCACTTTTGCTGGAACAGATTTCCAACCTCCACAGTTTAGACCATTCGACCAGTTCTTCACCGTTAGCTTGGAATCCAGACCTATTGCCATTAATATGCATAGTTCTCTAAATCCAGACCTCACCGGAAAATGCCAATCATGACTTAAGCATCTTTGGTGCTTCGTTAATGGTGGAGCTGTGGCTCAATGATTTACGGAGATGAACACATATACGAACTCTGCCCCACCTAAGAAGGTTTGGGAAGCCAGATACTATCACTAGCCATCAGAAAATGAGTGGCTCCCTACCTACTGCAGGAATATGCAAAAGGTTGGTAAGTTACGTTCCTTTGTTACGTCATTTCATTCATGTGGAGAAAGGAGAGTAGTGGTCCAAGGATAGTAACCTGGAGAACCCTGAAGATAGGCTGCCACTCAAACAGCATTCCGTCCAATCTTAGTGTCTTCTCTCGCATATGTATTTCCTGATCCAAACAGGAACCGCATTGTCAAAACCGAGTACACGAAGTTTCTTCAATAACCCTGCGTTAGTCATAAGCCTTACTGAAGTCGATAAACACTACATCTACAGGAAGCTAATCGTCCCTGACCTTAACCCAGTCCTCCCTAGCCAGCAGATTTGCCGAACAAGTGCGTCAAGCCTCAGAGTCATGTTTGTCCCATGTCAGTGGGTGGTGTTTCTAAATGCATATCATCAGGTAGTACCTTCCCCATTGACTTAACCACGATACTAGTAAGACTAACAACACGATATTTGTCTGTCTTCCACCTTAGAAACAGAACCTATTGTAGCGTCTATCCAATTCTTAGATACATGAGGTAGGGATATGTTGAATAACACCGTTAAGGGTGTATCAACGATACTACCCAACAGCGATAGAAACCCACAGTGTAACTAATTCAGAAGACTCATTTTCACGATTCCAATGGGTTCTATTAGAGGAACATTGGAAACAGCTATTCACAAATGAGTTTTGAGGAACACACGGCCGTTGCTTGAAAACAAAGTACTACAAAACCCATACTATGACTTACACATAACTGGAACTCATGCAGCCTAAGCACTAGAATGACACAACCTACCGGTTGACATGCCTGATGTCAAAAGAACTCTATATTACCGGCAGTTGTTTAGTATCGAGGTAGTGTACATAGCGTCCACTGATGTTCATAATATGCAACTATGTTACGAAACAAAATGGGAAAAGAATATATTCAGGTTTGGATGTGACTGACACCAATGTTGTTTTCGTGCTTCCCGCTATCTTAGCCCTAAAGACCATATATGTCAAGTAGAATGAGGGTATGAATGAGCTGTAAGTGTAGAAGTACTGCAAAAGTATGTAAGAATTCGGTGTTATCAACAATAGACAAATAAACAGTAAGAACTCCAGTAGGGAAGCGATTCATGTTCTGTATTGAATACCTTGTTGGCTGATGATAACACTAATAGTGGCTGAAATGAGAAATTATGGCTACTATAAACACCAAAAACGTTGGGATTGTGATTTGTAGGGAAAACATGAAAAAAACTAGAATTCCCTGCATACCTTATGTTATAATGCAATAACGTGAATAAGATTAATAAACGAGCCGTAAAGCTACGGGTTCAAAAATCCAATATCCAATAACAAAGTTCAAACTATGTACTGTTGAACAAGTAAGCGATGGTTCCTTGAGTTATACGTTTGTCTAACTGGAATGCTCTCTGGGTTTGGAATAGTCACAGTTGTCTTCCTGCTTCCAGGCAACCTGAAAGGAAGGAGATAAATGTTTTCAGTTATAAGTTATAAGGACAGTAGGCCAGTCGGCCTGTGCTAATCCTTGTAGAAGATATCTTTGTGAAGATCTAGTTTCTCCTTGATCGTGTCGACAGGAGGTGCTGATATTGCTTGCCTAGGTAAGGAGTTCCAGCAGTTGACAACACGATGGGAGAAACGCAGATTCACGCTAAGTTGATTCAATCGCAGTTTTTGAATTTTCTTGTGATGCCCTCGGAGATAATCAGTCCTAGCAAGGGAGAAAAGATAGAACACATCAACACCAAAGTCATTATTAAGAATACGAAATACCAGCATGAGACCAACCCGTTTCCTACGGTGATGAATCCTCGTCAACGGTCCAATCCTTACTGTTTGCGCAATCCTTATGCTTGAAATGTCCGCACGCCATACATTAGGTCTAAGGAGAGCGGCATCATAATCAAACTCATCAGTACGAAAACCAAAGGTGAGCACTGCATGGTCGCTGTTAGCTAACAGAGGGAAGTATCGTGGATCCAGGATGTCTTCACGTTGCTGGGTTAAAACTAAATCTAACAACGATGGCTTGTGTTGAAAACCGTAACGTGTTACATATGGTGCGTTTCGAACTAAAGCAGATTTTAAGACCACCAAAAGTAAGTCATTTTCGAGGGAACCACCTGGTGTTGAGACGTTTAGCTCCGTCCAGTTTATGTATGGAGCATTCAGACCCCCAACTATTAGGTGTCTGTTGCTTCCACTCCAGTTACGTATATGGGTCAGTACGAGGTCATTTGCAAGGCAGGATGGACCGCGGTAAATGACCCCGATAGTACAGGAACCTTGGTTTTACTTCAGCTCGCAACTGGCCACTTCACAGGTCCCACATTCATGTGCTTCAGACGTGACTAATCGTACGCGGACGCCACTCCGGACACAGAGTAGTACCCCGCCACCTTTGCGACCCACAACCCCATCTGCCCTTAAACAGTAATACCCTGTGAGGAGTGGCTTAAAATCTAGACCCTTGATTAACCAGGTTTCAGTGAGGGATACTGTGTCAGGACCTAGCTCGCAGGTTAGAGTCTCAAGGTCTGTCATTTTGCTTCTGATACTGCGAACGTTAGTGTGGATAGCTTTCATTGTGCTGGAAGAGTTACATGACCCACCCACATAGGCCTCGGTAGCATTCGCTTCCAAGACCTCACAACCCGAAAACCCACCATTTTAAGACCATTTTCACCATTAGCCTGTTGGGCCTTAAGTTCGGCAACAGCTTCTCTACTTTTTATGCGGTCCTCGAGGGGCCAGTCAGATCGGATGCGGATATCCGAACTTCATAGTTTGGATGCGTTACTCAAGAGTACATCCACTTCATCCTTGTTGCCCAAAACAACCTTCAAGATTCTCTTCTCATCAGGTTTTTCTTCCGTTTTCCTACCTGGCCTGACTACTTTAGAGATGTGTACCCCTTCAGACTTCTCAGATGGAATACGTCTGATGACCAACTCGGGTAATTTCAGGTCATGGCCGCGACGAATTGAAGGATCTTCGCCCAGTCACTCCTCAACATTCCAGAATGGGCGCTGGAGTGGAACCCTCGAGTCGTGTGTTGATGACCTTTGAAACCTCAACAGGTTTCATATGCTTAGTGTCTTCCGTGATGACTTTTGGCAGTCTCATCTGATGCTTTCCGGGAGAAATTTGTGTATATTCGCTGACCACCTCCATAGAATCAACGATTTTACCAGACAAGCTGTCTTTTTGGTGAATCCTTAGGGATTATAGCTAGTTTACCATTTGCTCTCGGTTTTCTATCGCGTCATGTACGCTGCGGAACTGGAGTAATCTCACCAATTAGATTGCTGGATTCCATTAGTCCATTGAGAGACCCTATGTCAGGTGTGCTAACGTTAACACTCGCAGCGTCATCATCTGATGCTACTTTGGAGTGACAGCTATCACTTCCACATGTGTCTTCTGACGAGTGGCACTTCAACAACTTCCTGGATTAAAGCTGACAACGACTTGGAGCATAAATCATATAACTGGGGAGAAGCTAGTTTGCTGCAACGCTTGTACACGGTTGGTGTCAATCTGGTACAAACTTTGTAGAATTAACATCCACATGCATCACACTGCATACCTTCATCAACCGGAAATTTAGAGCTAGGACGACCATGAACATGAATGTCGCTGACCATGTTATTCGCAATCCTGTTTTCACTAGTAGAGTGTACTAACTGAAGTATTCGGTCAAAATTTCAACAAAAGGACTTGAGCCATGACAACACAAAGACTAACTCCAAGCCCCAGAAATGGCTGAACTTCAAAGACTGACCCAAGTGCCCCAAGTGAAGGTTTATAAGAAGGCTTTTGATGCAGATCACACAACAAAAAAGGAAGATGTCGAAAACGTGGAAAAATTCACTTCTTGTTTTCGAAGCACGTACGTTAGTTGCGGTTAATAATTAACCTGCTTCCTATCGACAGAGTAATTCCCCCTAATCTGTAGATAACGGAAAGCTTTGTGGGCAAAGCTTATCGGTTCCACGAGACCCTAAATATGCACTTGACCTTCGACTGGAAGCATCAGATGAGGGGGCTATAACAACTGAGAGTTTCACAGTTTTCGTACCCTCACTGGCACGTATTTTTGTGCCTGCTCTTTCATGCTGTGCCCTTGGCGGGTGACTTCTAAGGTGACGCTTCTGAGTAAAGCTAAGTGGGGATCTCTTAGAATCAAGAAGATTATGGGTAAAGTAACACATCATGATCATATCCCCTCTGATCCTCCGGTGCTGAACCGCTTGCAACTCAGGAGCAACTAAGCGGCTCAGGTGAGGCTTGTGCCGTAGCCCGATCACTTTCCCGTGGATCTTCTGGGGACCCATTTTAGGATGGCAATGTCCTTCTTTGAGTATGGGGACATCATGAGAGTTTTTTCAAGATAAGGATGAATATGAAGTCTACACAACGGTAGGGAGTCCCGGAGTTAGACTGCCAGAAGTTCGCGAAGACCTCCCAGGATTCCGTGGATTTTACTGGCTACAAGGTCACAAGGGACCGAAGCTGCAGTTTTATCATTCAAAATGACTTTCATACTTCCTTCAGTGCTTGACCGACAGACACTTATTTCACTCGGCGAACAAGATCTAGAACTAACACATTTTGTTAACAACCATTATCCTACACTTCTCCGTGTTGAGAAGGAGCAGATCTTCAGTAGCCCAATTTAGTACTTTGCAAGGTTTTCTTGAAGGACTGAAATAGCCGTTGGCTCCTGTATTTTCCTCCACTTAATAGTGAGCCAGCACTGAAGGATTCTGGTGGGTCATCGATAAAAGCAAGTAACGGTAACGCACCGAGAATAGACCCTTGTGGCGCACCGACCAGAATCGGGAATCAATTAGTGAAAGAGAAAGCAGTTGTAGCTAACTGCGGCCTAGTGCGAAGACAATCCGTCAGCCAAAGTGGCAACTTTTCGCATACATCCGCAAGCCAGAGTTTCTTACTCAGGATCTCGTGGTTTACCTTGCCGAAGGCCTTGAAAAAAGTGAGTTAACTGGTATGAATGAGCTTTTCCGACTCAAAGAGAGGGTCCAGCTATTCCAAAGCATCAAAAAAGTGGTGTTACATGACCGTCTAGGTAAAAACCGGTGCTTACAGGCATTCTAGACTGAATTCCTAGGTGATCACGAAACGGATTGTTTACTACTTTTTCCATAACCCTTGCAACTGAGAAGATCAGGGGGACTGGCCTGTAGTAACAGTTAATCAGGTTGTTTTCACCTTCATATACTGGAACCACAGCCACCTGTTTAGAATCAGAGGGCAATCTGCCTTTTAGAAACAGTTATCTGAAGAGGTTCGCTGGCGGGGAACTCAGAACATAGGCATACTTTCTGAATACTAGTGGGCATATGCTATCAGTTCCTGAGGACTTATTCGGGTTCAAGTTCCTTAAGATTCCCTCAATTATAGGATGCTCAAACTCTACATAACCCAGCCCTTCTGTTATACGGGTATCTGACACACGCTGCCGTCCCGCCCAACTGAGAGAAGCTGTTTTCGAGTTCCTGAGCCAGTAAGTTCTCTACCTCAGAGTCAGTGTAAATGATCTCTAAGCTACAGGGGTCCCGTTTACCTAGTGAAATGTTATTCTTCTGTTCTATCGACGGATACAGTTCCCCGCCGTTCCCTTCCGGGGTTCTGCACAGAAGTGTGGTGATTTACTCCATCGGTTCAGATCTTATCGTACACCTGATGCAAACGCCGTTGTAATTTCGGGAGAGAATAGGGCTATTAGCGACCTATCATTGATTCCCAGACTACCGTTTACGCCGTATGGGCCTACGCGTGCTCCAGTTGACCCAGAAGAGTAAAACTCATTGGTTCTTCGTAGGGCCAGAAAGGTGTCATTGTCTGCCTTCTGGAGGATTGCGTTCCTCAGCAGCAACCAACTGTGGTCCACATAAATAAATAAGTAAATAAATGTTTTACTCTCGCATTAATTCAACATGGAAGAAGTCAGTTTACAGGTATCGTTACACTGATGTGTGTCGAAAAATCCACAAGATTTTACGAGTCGTGAATAGCACAAAGGAAATGTCAATGAACTCTATTAAAAACATCAGAAGATCCTGCTAGTTATGAAACGAACAAAGGAACATCACTTTCGGCTTACGTGGAGTGTTAAAGTTCAGACAACAATAAACATTATCCTAATATAGTGGACTCAACACGGGAGATGCCAGTTCACAGGCATCGTCAAAATGATCATTTTTGAAAGTTTACAAAATAGAATTTCGTATTATATAATTAATGTGTCAACCCACCGACGTGCGTAATCTTATTAAAAGTTGCTGCGATCCTTG